AATTCAATACTCGTGTCACGTCTCAACCTTGAAGGTTTCACCCTTGGTTCACCTCCATTTCACGCCTGAGGGAGCCTTGCTTCCAGCCCTGGAGGGTTCATCCCCTTTCACCCCATATCATCTTTTACGTCGCGCTAGGGAACCACCCCTCCCTCCCTTTAAATAGCCCGTTGCTCTCCACATTCGGAGATTGGCGCATTCATTTATTTGGTACGGATCGAGTAGTTCAGGAAAAAGCGGATTGCATGCATCATTTTTTCTTGCCACATTGATTCATGGGAAGCACTCTCTCCCTTCCCACGATTGATCCTGCCTCTCTTGCTTCTTGCTTGTTTGAGAGGCTACTCTGTGTGCGACGTCGCACATAAATGAATGAGTAGCATTTGAAAAGTATCTGATGGGGGAAATGAAGATGGCGTTTGCATTTAGTTTGTACATAAGATATTATGTGGACTTGGAGATTTTTTATGTTGGATCCCCCAGGGCAGTGCGCTTCTGAATGTCGAAAGAAGAAATGTCGACAAGAAAATAGTCGACGGCAAAAATGTCGATGGAGACTATGTAGAAATACAGCAATGTCGATAGGAGAAAAGATCGATCGAGTAAATGTCGAAAGGGACTTTTAACATTCTCATTAGGTGAAGCACTTTCAGTCATCAGATCATGGGAGCATGGGGAAGAGCATGATGGAAGGTTCCTTTATCAGCTGTCCTCCTTGTGTGATGGCACGAACTTTGAAAGAGCGGTCCTGGCATCTCCAGTAAAATTTCTCCCTCGCTGCCTTCTCCCTCTCTCGAGGAGATATCAGTGAAGGACTAGCATTTTCTTGTCTTTCTGAGGTCTGACAAATGTCACATTTGTCATTGCAAACCAAAGTCGGAGAAGGAGGGAAGTGATTGCCGAAGCCAGATGATGGAAAGAATGCACACGAGACCAGGGCCGGATTAAGGAGGGGGGGGGGAGGGGGCAAAGGGGGCTGTTGTCCTGGGCCCCATTCTTCTGGGGGGAGCCCCGAAGGAAATTAAAAGCGTTAAAAATTTGCGTAAGTACCGAAGGGGGGGGGGGGGGGGGCCTCAAGATGGTGGGGGGGGGGGGGGGGGGGGGGGGGGGGGGGGTAGCCTCAAGAATCCACTTGCCCCGGGCCCTGTAACTTCTTAATCCGGCCCTGTACGTGACACATGGCACTTACATAGAAGCCCATGGAATGGCTTCATTGATGGATCCACAGTCGCATTTAAAGAGTTAAATTACCTGCAAGGACATCACCAAGTTGCTCGATAAGGCTTCGCGAGAGAGAGACAAAGCAGAGAAGGCAGAAGGAGTAAGTGATCTCATGACTTTCCAGTTATATCCGCACACAGTTCGAAGCACTCCACCAGTCCCTTCATCGCCCCTTTCGTGGAGCACTTCATTCAACTGTCATGTTTGCACACTCCCACAGGATGATCACTCTGGTAAAAAAATCTCATCTTCCCACACTCGACAAGTTTCGACGATTCCTCTTCGTCGATGATTTAGAATTCTAGCTCCATTCCACCATTCCATTCGACATTAAGCATAAGCGACATTTTATGACATCTACATTCTTGTCCTTCGACATTACTACCTTTCTGCGTGTCTGCTTTCGACATTCCGAAGTACACCCCCTCGAGGGTCATACAGTAGTTCGATTTCGAATGTTAACATGCTCTTTTTTTGGCTCAGACAGATGTCCATGAACCACCTGAACATGAACCTTTTCTAATGTTTCATACAGACTGCCTTTTGTAGATATAAACTCGGAGACTTTTTTTAATTCTAAGGCTCGATCACGACGGACAAAGTGGATGGCTCCACGTTTAAGTCGGACGAGTTCTGGATCGGACTGAGACGAGGGGACCGCAACTCCGACTGGAAATGGGAAGACGGATCTCCCTACGGCGCGATCAAGGACTGGTACGTCTCGCCCACGAACTCATTGAAGGAGAAGAATAGGAACTGCGGCTGCATCTTCCCCAACATGTGGAGCACCATCGACGTCTTGTCTACGGAAAACCTGTCCCAAAGGATGGGATACGCCTGTCGAAGAACGCGGTCCGCAACCATGGGAGAGAGGACCCTCGAACTGTTAGCATCAGTCTGGCAGTTTGCCCTCACTCTTCTTTGATACATCTAACTTCCATTCATACTACTCACTCAACGTCTTACAGTGGTCTTTCTTCCTTAACGGTTAACCTTTTTGTTCCATTTTTTTTTGTTGGCGGACACCAACTGGGTCCCAAACAGACTCTTGCAAGCCGAAAGTTCACGTTGTTAGTTTGAGGTATTTCAGGTCTAGAAGCCTCCGGAGTAATACTTGAAGATGGAAATTTTACACTTTCTTGAAGGATACAATGTCTTCGTAAGAAAGGGGAAAATGCACTAACATAAGTGGAAACTGAAAATTGTTTGCTATGAGGATTTCCCTCAATAAAACAACTTTTGTGGGTGGTACGTGAATTTTAATTGTATGTAGTGACATTGCATCAAACGAATGGTGATCATGTCATCAGCGCCCCCCGTCGTACGCATGCAATCGCGACACGTAGGTCTCATCAACAATGGATTCCTGATTGACGTTCGGAATGCTATGATGCATTCTGCCCTCACTGCAAAACAGAAAAATCCATGATGGTAAGCCGGAATAATACATTTTAGGTGCGTCTTTCGTCACCAAGGCTGATGAGATGGATATTGAGCATCTCCACCTTTACCAATGGAGGATACTCCAGCTACAAACTCATTTGCAATGTTGTTGGCGCTGTCTGTTTTTATGCCGTCCGTATTTATATGACGGTAGAATTTTAACTGGTCTTGCTGCTTACGACAATGTTGCATGAGTTTGTGTCTTCAAAACTAAAACGAAAGATACAAAAGATGACGTAACCAACCCGTTCGGGATGATTAGACACATCAGCTAAAGTTACAAACCAAATGAGTTTAATCAAGGAATATGGCGTGGTCTTTGACATGGAACTATAGTGCACTGTAGGGGAGGTGGGGACGCATCATCTTGGGGTGGGTAGTGGCTGGAGCTGGAACGAACGTTAGGTCCATCTGGAGTTACTCGAACCATCTCGATCAGGTTTGAGGAGAGAATGCCCCAGTGAAGGAAATTGACGTTGGACGCCATCATCTAATATTATATAATATAATTTATCATCGTTATATGTCACATTCCATCCTTCAAATACTTCGCAGAAATTGCAGCTTTCCCTCAAAAACATATTAATATCTGTTGCACTCAAGGCTCTGTGAACCCCTACAGACATCCAGAAAATGAGATATCACCATTGCTGCAGACTCGGTGAGGTTCATGCTCTTCTAATTTCATCATAGCAAACCGGAAAATAACTTTGACAATACGACCGGAAGATCCATGTATAAAGAGGAAATAAATTATGGGTGCATGTGAGAATGTCGAATACAAAATTGTCGAAGACGACTGTAGTAATGTGGAATGGCAAACATGTGGATGGCGTACTATGTCGCTCGTGCTTCATGTCGAGTCCGCAAGGGCCAGAAAATGAAAGATGGCGATGAAGAGGAGCTATGAAATTATCCGGGATGTCAAATGGGCAGAACATCACATACACCCGCTCGCGCGCATGGGTCCCATTCGAGAGCAAATGCTTTTTTTTTTCTTAAAATACATGTTGGGATTGATTGCAACCACCAATGCAAAGAGGTCTTATTTTAAGGCAGCTGTCACTCGTAGATTGGTCAACACAAGGGAGGAGCTTTCAACGTTGTGCATTCGCTCACAGGACGGCAGACATGATAATGGTCTGCTGATGATCCTACTTGAAGATAATTCATTCCATCTGTAAAAAGAACTATTTTAATAGAGCGAGTGCGATATTAATCACAAAAATTATTTAAGAAACGAATGACACAAATTATAATGATTTTAGCTTTCTAGGCTTTGCTGTGAAATGAAATTTGTATTCACGTACCTGTGTACTGTGTACTCTTACGCATTTTCCGATAAGGCAACAGCTGATTCCATACATCCAAGAGAGTATTTGCATGCACGAAAACTTCTGCTCCGAAAATCAGCGTCTTTCCACCCGACTGGCTACAGTGGAAGACCAACTTAACATAACTATTTGAACATCTGCTTTGCTCATGTGCAGTTGCAATCCCGATGAAGAAATAGAAAATATGTTCGTAACTGAGCAACTGGGTGTAACCTCACCAGTGTGCATTTGTCTCATCCAGATGAAAGTCTTGGTGAGACCGATAGGGCTCATGGGGGATGAGGGAATGCACGAAAAGGAACTGTCGAGCGACGGCCTACAACGCATACGTAGATCAAAATTTATTGTCGTGCATTGCAGCCACCGGCCAGTGAATGCACTATATTCCGTCAGTAGGCATGAGTAGAGTAAGAGCACGTGTAACCCAACACGAACACGGAAAGTTAGCAGCCTTCGTATTATTGCCGAAGGAAAACGTGTCAAGGATGGACATCAATTTCGTGAGTCAGCCTCTCCGCAACGCACTTAGCATCGGTAGGTGCAGATGTTGCAGCACGTTCAGGACTGCCTTGCACAAGTCCCTACGGTGTGGCGGGCTGTGAAAGCCAGTATCCTTCACGCTCACGCACCGTAGTACCATCTGTCCATCGCTGGCACATCCTTCAGCATGAATTCTACGACGGTATGCTGCTTATTTTCACGTCCACGATGGACAACGCGTGCTCTTCGTTCTTCTTCAGTGCTTCTTGTTCCTTCCTCTTAACTCCATAGTACACAGTGCATTCACTGGGCCGCATCACGGGAAAACACGTACGTCGTTTGTGCAGGCATAGTTGGCAATTGCCTCATACATGTCGACCAAGGACAGGTTTCTCATGTCTTTTCCAACCCCCCTCGTACTGTGATTGATGCTCCCCGTGAAGTAAATTTTTTTTCCGGAAATGAGAAATTTAAAGAGGGTCAAAATCGTGCGCAACATGAGCCTTTACTTCATACGTGCTTCTACTCTTCGATGCATTGGAAAGTGTCAGGGTCGACTTCGAATCCAGCCATGCAGTCGCATTTGTCCAGGTCAAGATTGCATTCCAGATTAGCTTCGACGTCGCAGTCTGCATCTGTCGAGCATTCATCTCCCAAGCCTCCTGGCTTCTTCTCTGAAATGAATAAACATTAAAACTGTCCGGATGGAAAAAATAAATAAAATGAAATCGGAATGGGACGTCTTTCCCGTCGCAAGCCTCAGTTAACTTGGGACAGTGAGAATGAAAATCAACTGACCACAAGTAAGGGTTTCCACGTTGAGTTCGTAGTCGTCTGCACACTTGCATATCCCATTTTCGCAATGGAAATTGTTAAGTCCATTGCAATCAGCGTTGTTTTCACATTCGTCACCGAGGCCCCCTTCGCCAGTCACTAAAATCCAGTTAAAACACTCCATTTGGTGTTGGTAGAGGCAGTCTACAAATTCTTTAACAAATTTTCGCCATTTTGTGACAACTCGCCACACGCAGAGCCAAAATATCAGCAAGAAAGTAGGGTCATTTTCTCATTCTCATGACTCATGTTCTCAATTTGACACTTTAGGATCAAGGATCACTTGTTCCTAAGGGAAAGAAAGCATGGCGTTCAGTTTCATTGCACACTAAGACGAATTCACGCGCCAAATTTCAACAAAGCTCAAGTCCTTCTGTTTTTCGACGATAAGTATATTCAATACATAGAAATAAACAAAAAGAACAGCGAGCGGGCAGACCACACGAGAGGATATCGGGATTGAATTGGAATCCATCGGCACAGTCGCATTTTTGCAAGGCCAGGTTGCATGCCAAATGTTCCTCTTGGTTGCAGTCCTCGTCGGATTGGCACGGTTCCCCGAGCCATCCTCCTCCGTTCGGATTCTCCGTCGTCGTTGTCCCCTCTTCGTTCATCCATGAAAATTACATTTTCTCACGATTACGTTAGGAAAACCGACAAATCTCATGGGCAAATTTTTCACGGTTAGCGGAACAGAACACAGAATCGGTAATGCTGCACGCACCGTACTTACCGCTGTCAAATCAACCCGGTCTTCGAGCGATAGGGAAAAGTTTAACAATTGAGCGCAAGTCAGCAACAATAAACTCACGCTAGCATGGACTTTGAAGAAAAACGACCTGACTTTGCAAAAACGAATGTGCTGCCTGCAACCCTTATGAAAGCGAATGAAAGTAAGAAAAGTTGAAGGGCTGGAGGAGATAGCAACGGAAACAGATAAAATCATATAGATGCGGACACATGGATATTTCTGAAGTGTGTCATTTTCTGACCAAATTTCAAGGAGTGAGGGAAGTTAAAGATGGAACTCAAGCTTAAGCTGGAAGTGCGCTCACCGTTGCCCGGCAGAAAGACGATTAAAGATGCGGAGCCTTCTCTGTTCCCCTCTCCCGCCTGAGAAAAGGCATTACACATCAACGAAATTTTCATAACGAAATGGAAGTATAATCTGAACTTACCTCGACGAGGAAGATCATATCTGTCGTGATGGAATCATCGAGTTTCTGAATGAGACTGAGTTCACCAGTTTCGAAATCATGGAAATATGTTCGAGAGCCAAGTCGTCTGCAAAAGAGGACACGCAAAACATCATTGAACTGCTGTTCTCTTTTAATCTTGTTTAAAATTACATTACCCTTTCTCCAAACTTTTCCTTTATACTTGCTCGAGACAGGCGGAGCAAGGACTTCGAGGAAGAAAAGGCTATTTAAAGGTTATAAACAATTCAAGCGCACTCATTGACTGGAGTCGATAATTCGGCATTCCTGGGTCCGCTGATGAGGCAGTAATTTGTTGAGGGAGCACGTCCAGCACTCCTGATTCCTGATAATAATTGATAATGTATAGAGCAACATTCATTTGACGAATGTTTAAAGCAGTTAGTGACTAACCTGATTGAGTTCCAGCTGAACGGTATAGAAAGGATGTTGGAATACAAACGGGTCGTCTTCTTCATTCGTGACGGACACCGTCACTGATGCGGTTGCGCTCATACGGTCTCCCTGCATTGTACAACATTTCAAGTTCACGTTCAAAAAGAGCGTGAAAGGAAAATAAAATTAAATGGTGAGGCAAAAATATGAATGGGATTATGCAGGGGTATGCAGAGTCCATTTTCCAAGAGCAGGTCTGACAAATATTACTACCTGAAAATGTGTACTGCTTTTGGATGATCATTATTGCATTATTCATATATTGGAATCATGATCCAGTCACTCAATGGGATGGCAGCACGAAAATTACCACACTGCTTGCGATGGTGATGACGATGATGAAAATCGATGATGTACGTGAATGCAGATGACACGATTGCATATTCGACAAGCATATTAGAAGTCCAAAAAGCAGTTGGCTCCTTGGGAATCTGAGCCGAAGTGACAAAGCTCTTTACACGCGCATGTGTCAAAGTCCAAATTCAATAGAAGTGGTCGCTCAGAGTTTCTTCTCTGAAAGCAGGTCGAGTTTGTAAGCAACTTTTCCAACCCTCGTCTTATGTTCCAGACATCCAGGAATTCACTATGCACGTTAACAGAACGGTCCAGGATTGGAATGCGGTAAATTGTTATTGAAAACATGTCCAAACTCTCAGTCGAAGTTACCCCCAGACACTTTTCAGACTCCACGTGAAAGTCCTGCCTACTTTCACCAACGCTTTGCCTCTGTCGAAGGATAAGCTTAGTGTCTACCTTCTGCAAATCTTTTAACAGCGATAGAATTTCACTTTTGAAAAGATGCTAGGGTGTGGCAAGAACCGCCCCAAAGAAGAAAGAAAATAAGCCTTTCTGTCCTTGGTCATTTCAAAGTCAGAGTAGTAAACCTGGTTTCACGAAGAAAGTACCCGACAACGAAGGCCATGAACTCACCGTTAGCCTGGAAAACTGAGCAATCAGTCCCAAAATCGTTTCTTTAGTCACAGCCATTTCATAAAGCTAACCTCTACGATCCGTGATAATCAGATACGCCTAACATGACTTCCACCATATCATTCAAGACCGTCGGACCAAAGCGTTCGATAAACCTTGCGACCTGTGCATATGCATGCATTGCAGAAAAATGAAGCAGTGATCTATCACCTTAAAGAGAACTCCTCCAAAAATTCAGACGATTTCTCCTCGGCAAAACCTTGAAACTTCATACAACTCCATGCTTCTCCTTTCCGGATCATCCATGACGCCTGACACCATTTCCTCTTTCTTGTCATTCTGATTTCAGACTCTTCATTAGGTCTATTGATTTCCATCATTTTGTTAAATTGTCTTCCCTTGCCCACCTTGCTTGGTACTTGTGCCAAAAACTAGCTCAACAAGTACTAATACAAAAATTATCGCTATAATTGGGTACCATTTCATCACAACCATCAGAAATCACGATTTCTGAACGATGCAACTTGCGCTTCAAAAACTGCATCGGCAATCAAGAGTCATTTCAAATAGTAGAATTTGCATACCTGGGCGTGGATGCTGAATTGATAACTTCGTTGTTCCTCGTAATCCAATGGTCTTAGGAGGCTTATCTTCGGCGTACATTCTTTCATACATAGAAGAGGTTGTATGTCGAACACATCTGAGTGTTGGTCGATGGAGATCTCATTCGTGTGAAACTGTACACCGTAATCAGTATCACTGATAGTGATGAGGTTTGCGGATGTGAAGTCCCAGTCCGTAGGAAAGTTTTCTGGGACTTCGAAGCTATAGGATTCCTTATCAAAGATCGGTGGCAAGTCGTCTCCGTCCTTGACATTGGCCCGAAGATGTTGCTCGGTTCCTTCTACCTGGAATCAGACACATGACTGTCACATCACTAATGCCATTGTGGGGTCAATTCAGGAAGACATGGACTCACTCCATCTCCATCAACGCAAAGCAACTGCAAGGCCAGCGTTGTTGGCGTACTTCCCTGAAATGCGTGACAGAATAAATGCTTAAGCGACATGGAATAATAATGAGCAGTAGAATGAGAGACTGAAGGCGAAAGAGCAGGATCTCTCTCATTTCCCTGCTTTCAATCCTGACCCACGTCTCGAGCATCATTTACTGATATTGATAATACTGGGATAACTTGAACGTAGCTTGACCTCCGTGTAGGTGTCGGTGAGATCACCTTCAACAAAGACGACCAATTCCCCCCCTTCCAATTGAGTCCCAATAAGATGTATGAAGTTGTCTCCTCGAATGACGCTTTCGGTGTTGCTAGTAGAATAACGGCCGATCTGGAATCCCACTTCTGCAACTTCCGACACGCCTACGCTTGAAGGGGTGTTCAAAGTACAAGCTGCAATCGAAAATCATATGAATGAATAATGAATTACCTCTTGTTAAACTAGTCCACTCTCGTTCATTGTAAACCCTGCATGCTGGGAAAAGGTCCAATCTTTAGACGCGTCCAAGTGGGACTTTCCGGAATTTCACTTTTCTCATCCGTGAATCATTCAAAACGTTCGATCTGTCGATTTTTCTGTGAAAAAATTTCTAACTTGCTTATCCCATTGTCATTTTATTTTCGAACTCTGGGTATACTCTCTTTTCGGTACTTGTTGTCAGATGATAGGGTCAAAGTTTTTCGAGTCGGTCGTTAAATCCCCTAATTAGTTCATGGGCATTGGATTGGAAGCAAAGGAACCTCCTTTATCCGGTAATTATAAAAGTGGGGGGAAATTGAGGAGGCAAATGGTTGAGGTCCACAAGAGACATACATATTCATTTTTCAAAATCCTCCTGGAAATTAAGGAAAATAGAAAAACCACGTAGGCCTGCTGAAACTGTCGCTAATCGTCAACCTGAAGTTATTAATAGTCATGACATTCTATAAGATTAATAATTATTATTTGTTTATGATTGTGAATTAGTTGCGCTCCTGCAAGTTGCTTTCCATCGTCAGCGACCAAAAACTCGACATAGTGGAACAACTTCAATTGTGACTACGTACAACTGCGAATTTCATATTTTTGCAGCACTTTGATAAAACGGGTCATAAATGGGATTGTAGACCATTGGAATCTGCGCGAGAGGCACCCATATTCCGCCGATTGATCGCCGATCTCTTTCTTGCGTTGAAAGGTTAAGCGTGCGGGAGATGAGACTGTGCATGCCTACGTCATGAAGTTTTCAGGAGAGAAATGGGCATTTTTGGATGTGAGTACGGATACGATGATCCCGTAAGGATGGGGGTACTTATAGTAGACAAAGCTATTTCCTAGGTTCCCTGTCAAAAGGAAGGATTATTGAGCTTCGACTTCGGGCAATTCCCCTTCACACCTTCATCTCCCCTGCTTTTACGAATGCCACATTAGGAGTCTCCCTTTCCTCCGCTCAGATCCCCATCAGCTTTATAAGCTGACCTCACATTTACAAAAATAAGTACGGCCAGAGCAGAATGATTTCTATAGTATGCAAGAATGATGACGGAGAATACGAATATGGCATGTATACAAAGTTACCCACGGGTATGAATAGAGAGCCAGACTTACGCGAGTCTTGAGCCAGAACAAGGCTGATCATTAGGAAGAAGTGTAAGAGTGCAGAGAAACGCGACATGCTGCTATGAGTTGTTTCCGAATCGAATTGGATGTTACTGCTCAGTTTATTCACTGTATGAAGGTGGGCTTTGGCTCACTCTGATAAGAGAATCGCTTTTTCCCTCACTTTCCGCATTTTATCGGACTCCTGAAAGGGACAGGTTGAGATAAAGGAAAGAAAACGAGGACTCTCGCCATATAGACTCTTGTTTTAATCTCCTTTCCCCCTTAATATGGGACAGAGTTGGCAATCAATCCTTTTGAGTTTAGCGAGAATGTGCCTCATTGCAGTGGTTCTCAACCTTTCTTATGCGACGACCCATCGAGCCCAATACCTACATTTTATGCGATCCGGAAACCTGGAATGGGTCGCATGTAATTCAAGCCTGTGACTCGGAAAGCAGCAACTGAATGAATCATGAATATGAGAACAAGAGGTTCCACTAAACTTCCAGCAAGGGCACCCATAAGGAAAAAAACTTGAAATTCAGCGCACAATATTTTCTTTATACTTCGGGTGGATTTTTGAACAAAGAACTATCCGATAATGTTGCTTTATTTCCAGGAAATATCATGTATTTTCCTTGGAATTAAGCTGCATTATCGAATAGTTTTCCGTTCAAAAATCCACCCTTAATGTTTTAAATATGCATATACGAAATTCCAACGGCCAGTTAATTCTTCCAAACGTTTAATTCCAATTATGGAATTCAACCTCCATTAACCTCGTTTTGCTCGACATTAATAGAGACTATATGTCTACTTAAATTCATTCAGCCCTGGCGGGACTCAAGAGTCCCACATTTCTTCGTATATTTTGCAGGGCTATATAGGAATGCACGGCCTTGAGGCCTAGAGAGACTTCTGAGTCCGTGGGACCTCTTGGAATTTGCTTTTTTGTGATTCATGACGTTTCACTGTGAACAGCTGAGCAAGGAAAATTAATTTAAAATCATTTATATGTTTAAATTCAGGACTGAAAGGATAAAGGAATCCCTACTTGGTGGAAGACCGGAACGTGGAAGCGGTAGCAAGGCAGGACATGAACCTGGAGCGTACCATGCGACCCATGTTCTCCATGGCTGGTCGACACATTCGATTGCACGACAATTGCGACACCGTTTCCTTTTCCCAGCAAGCCGAGAAATATAAAATTCTGACAACCTGATTTGGAGGGAGGGGAAATGGTGTCGCATTTGGCGCAGACATGCCTGGAGGTAGGGGGGGGGGGGGGGGGGGGGGGGGGGGGGGGGNAGGGAGAGAAAAGGAAGGGGGATTTCAGAAGTAAGGAACCATCGCGAAATTTATTCTCTCCCTTCCCTTTCACGCTTCCAAAATGCACTCAAGGCCCATTTATATCACTAAAGCAATGTCATTTATTCTCTGAAAGGTACTGCTCGTCTCCGAAAAAAAAAAAAAAGTCATTCACAACAGCTGGGACTTGGCTTAGGTATCCCCCGGCAAATTCAAATGCAAACTACTGGTACCTAATCTCAATCACTTTATCTATATCCATGTATTCTCCAACATTTTGCACCTCCAACTTCTCTGAAACGGTAGACAATTGAATCTCCTTCCCCCACGGTCTTTCTATATCTGATCTTCACTTGTCCTGCCTGGTACTGGAAAACCTTCATCCTAACCGCTAGCTCTTCCCGCCTCAGAATATTAAAAAATTCACCCAAATCTGGATTGGCCCTCTTGTCCATCAGATTGGACAAACGATTGTGCCAACCTTCTACACCATCGTTCGTTCGCTGACATTCCCCACAACAACACCACAGCTCTCTTGGAAATCTTGCATTCTCTGCAAACCAGGTGTTGACGAAATAATCATTGAACAGTGTCACGCAAGGACACACTTCCTCGCATGACTTTGCAGCCGCGTAAAGCCCCGCATCATCCATTCAGCCAATTGGCTCGTGGCACAAAGTGACAACCCGGCAGAAATTATCTTACAGCACAGACCTTGAAGTTGCATATGCTTTTGACAGCCCCAGACTCTGAATCGTACGAAAGAAACTTGCACCTGTGCACCACAATGCCAAGGGACACAATTTGGAAAGTGCCATCTCGGAATCGCACATAACCTCCTTGGAATCAAATGTCACATCCTCTGCAAACACATCCCCAGTGCGCAACCTCTTTCGCGAGTCTCCCTTACCTCTGGAATCCCCCTGCTTTTCCCTTTTCCCTCCCCCCCCCCCCTCCCCCTCACCTCCAGGCATGTTTGTGTCAAATGCGACATCATTTCCCCTCTCTCCAAATCAGATTGTCAGAAAATTTTCTTTTTTTTGGCTTGTTGGGAAAAGGAAACGGTGTCGCAATTGTCGCCCAATCACGCATTCACCGGCATCGAATTGATGGAAGCAATCCGACATCTATCTTACAACTGCAGGAGGAGTTTTTCTTAGTTTCTCAGTAGCATCGATATGGTTCGAACCCTGATTCCCTCTTGGCCTTAGGTGTTGGAATTTGACACAGGGCTTGGGGCTCGATAAGATCGTATCAGGGGATATGAAATGGCGCAGAGCCACATGTAGTGTATAGAAATTTCAGGCGTTGAGATTCATAAGCTTCGAGCTTCTTTGGGTGCATGTTCGCATACAAGTAGTTCCCGTTTCTCGTGGAACAGACACGAAAGCTCATTATATTCAAGACAAGGGGTCAGTTGCACTGCCTCAGTAAAGTCAGACTTTCCGTTAAGTCAGACTTAGGAAGCATGGTAAACAGGCTCCCAAAGTCAGACTTTGCACTGAGGCAGTGCAACTGGCTCAATGTTGCGTTGTTGTGCCTCAGCAGGTAACTCGGATTCGTTCCCTAGGGACTTTATTTCCTCTCTTTTTTGTGTCGTTTACATCCGATCTTATCTGGATGGATTTCCCGGGAAGGAAATACACAGGTGATGGTTCACATGCGATATCTCATCGATACACTAAAAGCGATGAGTCGTCCAAGCAAACTTTATATGGAAGAGGAACAAGTGTGAGACATCCGCATTCGACTCAACTCATATTCACTCGCTTCTGCTTCGCATCGGGAATACAGAAAGATGAATTGCGGCTTTCGCTGTTCTCCGCTCATCTTGAGCTTGCTTCTCGGGGTCACTTTCCCTCTCTCTTTCGGTAAGTTGAGCTGAACGTAAACTCATTGATAGTTCGTGCAAGAAATGTTCCAAGATTCTTACAATTTTCACCTTATAGGATCTAAGCAACAAATGACAAATTGACCTGTCTCCGATTTTAATGAAAATTTGTGGATATTTTTTATTAATCGAGAAACACATTTTTGGCTTCCAAGGCCAATTGCTTTCTGAGGTACTGCGATTTGAATATTGCCAAAAAGTACCGATTTCTGGTCCGGTGGTCATCACATTTGTGCCCTTAAGTTTTGCCCTAATTAATGAAGAGAGATGAAATTAGTTTAATTTTCGAGCTATTTATATGCTCTTTTATATTATGTGTGCATAATGGAGTTTTCATGAAAATAAAGGTCAAAGGTAAAAAACTTCGACCTTTTTCTGAGAAAAGTATTTTTTAACAAAAAATTAAAATTACATTCCAAAAATTTCCTTTTTGGATATGCCAATTTAAATTTGTGACCGTCATGGGATCAAAAGATGGGAAAGAATAATGTGACAGTGAGCAATCAAAAATCAGCAGAGAATGCGCTAGAAAAATCGGGATGCATCTGGTTCTGGAATAAATTTATAGATAAGGCTTTCGCTTGAGGTAGTCTAAACTATTATCAATATTCTTGAAATATTCTCAAGTAGCACAAAAGTAGTGGGCCATAAGCGCCCCAGGCACTATACTAGCGGATTTCTGCCGTGGGCCTG